CAGTCTTGGCGCTAACGCCATTTTGCGCAAATTCTGAGACGCCAATTCAAAATGCAAAAATTTGTCATCGCAAAGATTCGAACCACGGACCCCTTCATCACCCTTTTTTGGTATTCGGGGGGTCGCTCAGGAAAAACGAACCATGGTTCTGTGGTTCCCACATGTGCCACTATGTCATGCAAGAAACCATGCCACCCGTTGTTCGTTATAGTTTTGATTATTCTACTCCACGGACACATTGTTGAGATTCCACCGCAGGCTCAATTAGGAACGGGATGGGTGTAAGCTAAAAAAACAATTTTCGGCGCTATCGCAAGAAACGGGGCATGGCAGCGCATCTGAAAGCGTGTCAAGTATCTTTTTTTGTTATGAATGGGACTAAGCCTTAGGTGAGAGAAGGCACTCCAGGGCGCTAGCAATTTCTATTTTCCCCAGACTTTCTGCCTTCTCTTAGGGTAATCTCAGGCATACTCGTGGAGGTTGCCCAGCATATTGTGATAATGCTCAAATTTCATGCGCGATTCCTTTAACATAGAAGGAAAACGGGAGAACTGGAGATGCATCTATATCTCTTTTCGAATTTTCCATCATCAGGGATTCCTTCACCAGTAATTTCATTATTAGTGAAAAGTGTTCTATTTTTTGCAACCACTAAAGCACACGGATCACTCTGAAAGGTAAAAATGGAGGCATAATCAAGGTAAAACGATTCTACTCCGGGCGAAAGTGCGGGACATATGTATCCCGCGCTGTCCTCGATGTGTAAAAAATCGCTGATGCAAAACCACTTACTCAATAGCCATTCCGATTCAAAAACACACGGGCTGACATTTTTGAGACCATGCAGTCCATATGTGGGCTGCAGTCTGCCTCCGCATATGAAGGACTCTGCAGGCCACATTTTTTCGAAGCACTGAGCCTCTTTTATTTTTCTCACCATCTCATTCAGAAGGTCTCCCTTGAGTGATCCCTCCCCATGAGGCCCTTCGCTATCTTCTGAGCCATTCCCTGATATCCTCTTGCAATGTGAAAAGCTATAGAAAAGAAGCCCATGTGCCAAGGATACCATTTTCCTAACTGTAGTAGAGAACGGCGTAGGAATGACGACTATGGGCTCCAATTCTGTCCACACAGGGAAGTCGCCCATTCATCTGTCTCGTTTTAAGTGCCTCTTCTAGGCCTTATACCGATGATTGCCTGCACATAGAGATATCACTCCAGAAGGAGGTTTAAGATGAAGGGGTAGCCCATTAGAAATTAAGGAAGGGTTTGTCTCTGATGGAGGGATGAAGAAAATTCTTGAGAAGCTGTCCATAACCTGAGAAATGGGAAAACTTGTTAGCCGTTGATTCCCACATGGATGTTGAAAAGGGGACCAAATGTTGCTCAGGTATTTTAGCAGTTGTAGGACTGGTAGACTATGCCGCAAGCACTCTAATTCTCTGATAATAGCATCAGAGGACTCAATTTCCAGGATCTGATGCTTCTTTTCAAGGGTTTCTTTCAATAGTGAATAACCGTTTTAACTAACACTGGGCAACTGGTCCCTTCAGGGCACCTGTGCACCGTCATACAGTGCCCATACATATAAAATTGTGAAGAAAAAACAAATTTGCAAAGCTGCTTTATTTTGTCGCTATCTACCACGGTGTTTACCGTAAACGAACTGTACGGAGAGCAGCATGATCGCGTTCTTAGTGAGTGAAGCGAGACACGAACACTGCCGAGCGAGGTGGGCATGGGCAGTAGGCGGCATCGTTTCCTGGGAGTCCAGGTCCTCCGGGGCCACCAGGCTGTCCATCGCTTCCTGGGTTTCCTGGGGCTCCAGCCTGTCCAGCTGGTCCTTGAGGTCCGGGAGCGCCAGGCTGACCGTTGGGTCCACGCTTTCGGGGCTCTCTGTCCCAGATGGTCCCGGCTTCCGGCGCATCACCGTCCTGAGTGCCGTCTGTCCGGTGGCTCCGGCGACCATCGTTTCCGGGGGCTCCTGGAGCTCCAGAGTCTCCGGGTGGGCCAGCTGGACCGGGCTGTCCATCTTGGCCAGGTGCTCCAGGCTGTCCGGGCTGTCCGTCGGGTCCGGCGTTTCCGGCTGGTCCATCGGGTCCGGGGTCCAGCTGTCCACTGCACCTTGACGCAAACCAATGTCTTGTTGGCATGTTGATCGTTGGCTAGGTGGAGGTGACATCCTCACCAGGTGCTCCGGGGGGTCCGGGTGTTCCTAAATAATTTTCCATTGACAATTGTACCATAATTTTAGCCACAAAAGTAGACAAATCGAATTTGGAACTAAAATGAAAGGAAGAAACGACATACCAGGCTGTCCAGGCTGTCCAGGTGGTCCGGGAGGTCCAGGTGGGCAAGTTGGCTTGACGGGCTCGCACTGGCACCAGGCTGGCAGTCCGGAGAGAAGTCCTGTCTCTTCTGACGGAAGATGGAGCTGAAGGGGTTTGTGCGGGGCTTTGATGGTGGGGTGACGGTGACTTGGATAGTCCATCATCTCGGTCCAAGCAGAGTCGGTCTCACACACGGAACACTGAGACGCCATCGAGCACCTCATCGTGCACCTCGTTGATGGTGCTGTAAAGCGATGGCACGACGATCAAACAGGCGACCATAGCAGAGTGGAGCAGGCCGAGGCCACGCCAACGATGAGCTTCTCCTCGAACATCTTCAGACTGTCTATCACAGTGCAACCCTCCCTTTTATAGGACTCTTGCAGACATCGGGGCCACGCCTCTGTCGTAAGGCGGCTGATTCGGGGCGTAAGAACGTGATAGTTACGTCGATGCCCAGATAGCCCTGGGACCGTGCATGCGCGTAAAATCTTCAAGAGTAGTCACAGATTGTACTGTGGACTTCCTCGTTACACTTTCGTCGAACATACTTTGCTAAAGGAATGTTTGAGCTGGAGGGTGTCACTATTACCCATCCGTACCAAAGATCCTCTTGAGCAAGTAACTTTTCCTTTCTCCAGTGTGCAGGGTAACGATCAAAGTGCAGACCGTCAAGGAGGTTATTCGGGTCAGTGTCATCACTACTCATTTGTGCCCCGAGAGCAACTTCGTGCGTGTTCTTTTTGCTCTTGCCAGGGTGCAGAGTAAGATCAAAGCGCAGGCCGTTTTATAGGTTGCGTATCGACGGATAGGGGCTTCTGAAGAGACCGCTGGTGCTACGTCGCCAAATCAGCTTTATCTAGCCTTCTAGATGAAGCTGATTTGGTTAGCTGTGAGGTAACCAGCTGCATTTGAACCGCGATAGGGCTTGGTGAGATTATGCTACACAGCTTTACGCGATAGCAATCTCTTGAGAAAGGGGGAATAGATTATTCCTCTGATTATGATAGTGCCGGTAGGTGACACGTGTGATATTAACCCCATGAGGATGCGCCATGCTTTTGATTCCTTGTCAAAGTTTTAGATGTATGTGAGCGCGTCCAAGCCGAAACTTTGACCAGGTCTGCCTGTCCGCTATTCAGCCTGTGGGGCAGGATCTCCTGATAAAATCAGTTTTCCTTATACCATGAAAGCTTCCCGTCTGGCTGTTGTCCACCACTGGGTAAGCAGAAGATGACTCTTATTTGTCCTCGTTTCCAACTTGTCCTGCTGGTCTAATCAACTTATGTCAGGTGATTCTTTGCCATCTTCGGAACTCTATAAATCTTATTGATTTAACAGGCTCTGTTTTCGGTCTAGTTTACCCACATCTTCCAATCAAGGTGAATTAAGTGCTGTCCTATTCGCCTAAGAGCTCAGAAACTTTGCTTAAATACCTGCACCTTTCATGGTACTGTTAGGAACCTTCAACTCATCCTTCTCCTTCCAGGGCACGTGATCCGTATACGGCAGCGTAGTCCGGTACCCCTCCTTCGTGTCTATCCTCACAGCCATGATCCGATCGCTGATCCTGTTCACAGCGGAGACATAGTCCTTGAGCGACTCCGCTACCGCTATGGCCACGCCGTTCCGCTTGGTGTCTTCTCCATTGTAGTAGAGCTTGACACCTTCCCCGATTTCTCTGGCCTTAGCTCCTTTCCATCGCGTCTCGTGAAGGCATTGGATTTGCATGCTTCTGCGATATCAGCCGTCTCTCACAACGTTCCCAGTCAGCGATACTATGCACGTTTGGATCCCCAGTTGGAGCTAGCTTCCTTGACCGGAGCCGTTGATTCCTCACTATCCTTCGCAAACCTACCACAGAATTCGGGCGGAGCTTAACAAGTGACGTCCTAGCATTATCACTGAATCTTTTGCACATGGTTTTTGTGACTGGGGTCTCATCAGCCGACCTGTCAACCTAAGTCTGGCGCTGAGCGGCGAGCAGAAGAAGCTTTAGGACCAGCGCCAGACTCAAGTTGACAGGTCGGCTGATGAGACCCCTGCTACAAAAACCATGTGCAAAAGATTCAGTGATAATGTTGGGACGTCCCTGTGAAGCTCCGCCCGAATTCTGTGGTAAGTGTGCGAAGACTAGCGAGGATTCAACGATTCCCGTCAAAGGAGCCAGCTCCAACTGTGACACAAATGTAGTATCAGGAAGGGGGAGAGATTCCGGAGAAGAATAT